AAAAAAAAAATACAAAAACAAAACAAAACAAAACTTGGAAAAGCAAAACAGGACTCTAGGTCTGGGGCCCGAGGACAGGTGGTGTCATTAACTGAGACGGTGACCTGGGGAGGCAGCAGGTGGGAGGAACCCAGGGTTTGGGTCTGTTCTAGACACCCAAGGAGGACGTCTGGTGTCAGAAAGGACAGAGAAATGCGGGGAAAATGGAGTCATGGGCAGGAGGAGGACATCTGGGCAGGGAGTGGATACGGAGCAGGGAGCAGGGAGCAGGGTGAGGACAAGTGGCCGGGTCTCCCACGCATTGAGAGCAAGAGTGAGGAGGAGCCCCCGAAGCAGACCGGGGAGTGGCCGGCGAGGGTGAGCGTCGAGAGAAGGAAGTGTGTCCAGAGGACAGAGTGGTCATCTGTGCCTAACAAGCCTTGGCCGGAACAGCTGTGGGCAGCGGTGGGCAGAAGCCTGAGCGGAGAGGGGAGGGAAGTGGAGAGGGAGAACAGCCGGCTCTCTAAAGGAATTTCTCGAGGCGTTTGGTGTCGGGAACGTTTTTTGCTTTGTTTTTAAAGAAGGCAGGCAATATATTGACATGTGCTGGGAGCGATCTGGTGGAGAAGGTAGAGCCGATACTTTAGGAAGAGAGTGTGTGGCAAGAGCAGGGTCTTCGACTGGGAGAAAGACCTGGCCTGGTCACAGGCAGGTGGGGACAGCCCATCCTTCTGACGGGAGGGAACAGGTGCAGGAGGGGGCTGGGGGTGCTGGATGAATGAAAAGGGTTTGTTGAGGGCCTGCCACGTGCTGGTTGCTGGGCGATGTGGATAAAAGAGGCAGACGATGCCCTGTCCTCACGGTGCCTACCTTCTGGCCAGGCGGGCAGACAACGGGCATGAACAGGTCAAGTGGTGGGGCCAGGAGTAGCTCACTCAAGACCTCAGCGCACAGAGCTGGGAGGTGCCAGGTCAAGTGTCGGGGAGGACACGGGGCGGGAGCCCAGTGGGATGCAAGTGAGATTGGGGGTACATCCTCCAAGGGTTCAGAGAGCAGGGGGAAGTTCAAGGAACCCCAGAGAGTGGGTGGCAGGGAGAAGCTCTGTTGGAGTCCAGCCGGCTGCTGACCTCCCGAATGCCCTCCCCTGTCCCCAGGAGGTGAGGGATGCTGCAGAGAGGAGGGAGCTGGACCGTGTGCAGAAGCAGCCTCAGGAGCCCGCGGTGGCCACAGGGACTCAGAACCTCAGCAGCCTCCGGCAGGGCTTCATGAAGTGCTTGCTGGAGGTGGAGGCGGCGGAGGCCACCCATCGGAGGGCCCTGAAGGCCCGGACCCCACCATCCCGCAAGTCCCCCAGGACCCTGACCCCCGTGCCCACTGGAGCCCCCGTCGGCAACTCAGCCCCAAGCCTGCCTCTGACCCTGCCTCAGACCCCCTCCTCGGCCCCTGCCACCGCCCCACCATGGGCCCGGTTGCCAGCACCCGGGCCAGTCCCTGCCCCCATGGGAGCCCCGATCCTGGCCTCAGCGCCTGGCCCGGTACTGTCAGTCCCCGTCCTGGACCTGGGCTGGAGAAGGACAGAACTCTTGTACCAGAGCAGCAAGAGGAGCCTGAGCTACGCCAAGGCACGGTAGGAGCCACCGCCTGCTCACCCACCCGGCCCCGAGAGGCTCCCCAAGACCAGAGCCTTGTCCCGGACTCTGGTCCCTGGCACTGCACCCGCCTGCTTCATCCCCTGTCCCCTCTCTCCGTCTCTCCTCGCTCTGGCCCCTCTCCGGATGTCCCCGCTCTGCGTCTCTGTATCTCCCACGTCTCTTCCCGTCTCTCATTTCTGACCCCTGGGTCTCTCCGCCTCTCGTCCCCCTCTGCTCTGCCTCACTCCTTCTCTGGTCTCTCTCTTCTCCTGTCACTCTTAGCTTCCGGGGCCCCCAAAGTCTCCCCATGACCTCCTGCGGCAGTCTCCTCCTCGCCCTCCCCAGCTGTCGGTGGCAGCCGCAGGCAGGGGTGTGTGGCTGGATGTTGCCCTGGGCCCGCTTCTGTCCTCTGCAGGCAGGAGCCAGAAGAGCGCGGCCTCCTGAAAGTGGGTCAGGACTGGGAGGACAGGTCCGAGGAGCACCTCACCCTGAAGCAAGAGGAAGGTGAGGGCAGGGAGGCCCCTTGCCCAGGAAGAACCCTCGGCCCTTTGGGGTGTACAGGAGCAGAGTGGGCTGGGGTGTTGCCCCACCACTGCCCTGTGTGGTGGACCCAGCGGGAGTTATCTGCACTTGGCCTAGGGGGACAGTGCAGGGAAGGAGGTTGGATGGGCGCTGGGTGGGGGACCCCGAGCTCACGCCGTGTCCTCTGCCTCGAGGTCCAGCATTCTCCCAGCTCCAGAGCTGCCTCTCTGACAGTGACCGGGGCCCTGCAAAGGGCTTTAGGTTTTGGAGGTGTTTCTGCCTCCCTCCACCCAAGCCCACTCTATTGGTCCTCTTCAGAGACAGACTTGATGGGAGGCAGGGCTCCCAGGACCCCCTGCCCATCCCAGACAGTCTCTCGCTATTTAACGAGGCCACCACCCTGGACACGTCCCCATTCCCACCACATCCCACCGCTACCAAAAAGCTAAAAAGTTCTGAACACCCACCCTAGGTGAGGTGCTGTGCCCTTTGCCCTCCATTGTCCTGGGGTGGGCCTTGTGACCCCACTCCCCCATCACCCTGGCCCTAGAATAATGGGTGTACATCCTCCTTCTATCCCCGCTCCTCCCCCAACCCTCTTGGCCAGAGTGGCCCCGTCCCCTCCTTTCCCTGGCTCTCTGTGACCTCGTCCTTGAAGTTCACTCCTTTCAGCATTAAAACTCCGTCGCCACCATCCCACGCCCAGCACCAGGGCCCCACCCCCTGAGCAGGTCACGAACAACATGCCACTTTGACTCGGACTCAGGAGTCCAGCCCCCGTCCGGTGAGGCGAGAGCTGCCTGCCTTGCTCCGACCGCTCAAACTTCCAGGCATCCTGAGTGACCACATCTGCTTGAGAGTTCTGGGTTTTTCCCTTTTGAGGTGTGCCTGCCTGTGGCAGGTCACTACTTGCCCCAGCCCTGATGCTAGGCCGACATCTTCCCCACGGCTCAGCGTGGTTCACCAGAGGCTCACAGCCGTAGAGTGTGCTGTGTGCCAGGCCCTGAATCGATACGACGGCTCTGAGAGGGTGCACTGTAGTTACTCCATCGGACGTGTGCGGAAATACAGGCTCGAAGAAGTGCAGTGGGTTGCCCAGGGCAACCGTCCTGGTCGCTCAGGCTGCCGCAGCAAAGTACCACAGGCTGGGTGGCTGAAACGACAGACACCTATTTTCTCCCAGTTCTGGAGGCTGGAGTCCAAGATCTCACGGTTCTGGAGGTGGCAGCAGGGTTGGTTTTTCCTGGGGCCTCTCTCCTTGGCTTGCGGACGGCCGCCTCCTCACTGCGTCCTCACGTGGTCTTTCCCCTGTGCACATGCACCCCTGGTATCTTTGTGTGTGCAAATGTCCTGTTTGTGTAGGGACACCAGTCACGGTTGGATTGGGGCCCACACTAGCAGTCTCATTTTAACTTCATCACCTCTTTAAGGCCCCATCTCCAAATACACTCACATTCTGAGGTGTACTGGGAGTTAGGGCTTCAACATAAGAATTTTGGGGGGACACAAACCAGCACATAACAGCAACCAGCATATTAAATGACAGAGCCAGTCACTAGGCTCTGTTGACTCTAACTCAGATTTTGCTGTGGCTGAGAAACCAGACACCACAAGTTATGACTAGTACGCAGCTCTTGTATCCGTTGGCGCCGCTCTGGGACTTTCTCGCCATCTTTCCTGTCCTTTGCTCTGGTCCCGACCCCTGAGGCTATCCCAGAAGCCATGTCCATCCGGATAAGTGACTGCAGATGCCAAAGTCCAGGGCATGGACGTAGAGTCAGAAAGACCTGTCTGGAGCCAGACGTGGAGGCACACGCCTGTAGTCCCAACTAGTCGGGAGGCTGAGGCAGGAGGATCACTTAAATCCAGGAGTTTGAAGCCAGCTTGGGCAACATAGCGAGATCCCCCTCTCTAAAAAGATGTGTCTGGGTCATCTAACGTATAAGCCTCGGTTTCCCCATCTTTACAAAGGGAAAAAGCATTCTACTCTTACAAGGATGTCGTAAGGATTAAATGAGAACGTGGCTATAAAGAGTTTAGCCCCGTGCCTGGCACTTAGTAGGGTGCCCTAAAGTGGGTGTGCTCCTGGTGCCAGCAGAGGCTGCTAATTAGCTTAGCTCTTGCCATCCCAGCCGAACGCTTGGCCTGGCCTCGGCATAGAGAGCGAGGTGAGTCGAGGGGACCGCGTCCCTTTGCTTCCACTCTCTTAGTTATCTTTGCCCTCCACCCGGCCACGGTGGGAGAGGATGCTGGGCGGGAGGGCGGCTGGGGGCATGGGTTGAATGGGAAAACAAGAACTGCCCCCACCCCGCCCCGACCCCGCCCTCCCCACAGCCTTCCGCAGCTACTTCGAGATCTTCAACGGCCCCGGCGAGGTGGACGCGCCGAGCCTGAAGAACATCCTGCTCCTCGTGGGCTGCTCGCTGACGCCGGCCCAGGTGGAGGACGCCCTGATGAGTGCTGACGTCAACGGTGAGTGGTAGCCAGGGGAGGGGGTTCGCTCTGAGCTTCGGGCGGGTCTGGCTTCACTGGCGCGAGACCCGTGCAGTCTCACGGGGCTCTGTGCTTGAAGGATCCTGTGCTCGGTGTGATGCTCTGTGCTCACGCTCTAGAAATTCTTAGCGACTTTTGAACGATGGGGCCCCATCCTGCATTGCCATTTTGTACCGGGTCCCACAAATTGTGTAACTGGTCCTGCCTCCAGGAGTTAATGCCCCTTGAGCGCCTACTCAGTGCCTGCTTCTGGGGACCCAGAGATGACAAAGACCTACCTCCTGCCCCTGAGGTGTGGGTGATCTCAGATTCCCTTCCCTTCGGGCTCTCATGCATGCTTCACTGGATGTTCTGCCATGACTCAGTCACTCATGGTACCAGCTGTATGACCTTGGACAAGCCACTGAAGTTCAGTTTGCCTCAGTTTCTCCATCTGTAAAATGGGTCCGATAACAGCACCTATCTCACCAGGGCTGCTGTGAAAATGACATGAGATAATCTAGGCAAAGCCTTGAGCACGGCACCTGGTGCACAGGATGTGCCCAGGAGACATTGGCTGCCAGTGTTATTTATCCAATATTTACTAAGTGCCCACTGTGTGCCGTCCCTGTGCAGGGCACCAAGGAGAAAGAGATGTGTGTCCTTGTAAAGGCCGAGCAGTTAAGAAAAGAGTGAAAAGGAGATGTGTAAAACCGTGAGATCCTGTCCTTGAGAGGCTCCCAGAGACAGTTACTGCCATCGGGCAAGGGCCAACACAGAAGTAACAGGCACCAATGGAAGCAGCACTTAAAGTGGCTTGGGGGAAGGGGTCAGGAAGGAAGGCTTCCTGGAGGAGGTGATGCCTGAGCCAAATTGTGAAAGGTTAAGCCGGAGGTAGGAGTGAGGCAGGGAGAGAAGAAGGAAGAAGGGCATTCCTGGTGGCAGATACAGCTTGTACAAAGGGAAGAGAGTGCAGGGTGAGGGGAATCACACGGGGTTTGCAGTGGCTAGGTGTGGGGAATGACATGGGAACAGACCTGTGCGGGGCCTGGGCTCCTGACACCGGGTGTCATGACTCTGCTCCCTCCATCACTGCACAAGTCAGGAATTGACTCCAGCTCTGCCCTGCGAGACCCTAAGCAACAACTTTCTTTTCTCTGTGCCTCAGGCCTCATCTGGGACATGGGGATAAGAGTATTAGGCACCCCCATACGGCTGCTTTAAGGATTAGAGACCATTTATTCATTTGTCAAGCAGTTCAGAGAACATCTACTAAGCACCTGTCTGTCTTAAGCCCTGAGGACACAATGAAAAACAAGACAGCCCCAGTCCCTGCCTCCCAGAATCTCCATTAAATCCCAGACCTTACAAGCATGTGGTTGAAATACCGGGGTTTCATCAGAGTGTTTGATGGGGAGTCTGACCTGGTCTGGTCTGAGTCTCTGCGAAGGGATGGTCAAGTGGAAGCACACATAGGGTGTTTACTAAGTCAGAGAGTTGGAGGGTGGTGGAGAGAATTCCAGGAAGAGGAAGCAGCATGTGCAAAGGCCCTGAGCAGGGAAGAACGTGGACCCAGGTGGGAAAGCAGCTTGGTGCTGGGCAAGCTTGCACAAGGTGAGGCTGGAGACAGGTAACAGGCAGATCCTGCAGGACCTTGAAGGCCAAGGTGGGACACTTGTGGGTACGTGTTACCGTGCAGTGAGTAGCACATAATACTAGTCACTGGCATTTAGTGAGCATGCATCACATGCATGGCACTGTTCTACACGCTTTGCCTCATTTTATTAATATCTCCCATGAGGTAGGTATGATGATTATCCTCCCCCCACAGATGAAAAATCTAAAGCTTAGTGTGGGGAGAGAATTTGCCAAGGCTGTATCTGTCTGGGATATGAGCCCAGACAACTGCCTCCAGGACGCAAGTTTCCACGGCTTCTAACCCAGGAGATCTGAATGTTTGCCTTCTACTTTCCCGTGTGCCCCACGTTTTCTGCACTGAATATGCATTACTTTTATAATCAGACCCAGTGGGTAACTGCTAATAACCATGCCTGGGCTGCAGGGCCCGGACCTGCTCCGGAAGGCCCCTGCCCACCGGCTTACTCCTCTGGCCTCCGCAGGAGATGGTCGCGTGGACTTCAGAGACTTCTTGGCTGTGATGACAGACACCAGGCGCTTCTTCTGCTCCGTGGGTGAGCGGGGATGAGCCCGGGGCAGTCAGAGCTGGAGGGGGGGGCCAGGCGGCTGGGAGGGGGGTGATTCAGGACCACCAAATGGTAATGGCAGCCACCATCCCATGTCCCCAGAACAGAATGCCCTGATGGACATGGCTCCCCCAAACCCCCACACTCTACTCTTTGAGATCCTGTCCCTGCTGGTGGAGATGCTGGCTTTACCGGAGGCAGCCTTAGAGGAAATCACAAAGTGAGTGGGGCTGGCTTGTTGGGGGTGGAGGGTTATGGACACCGAGGTGGCACCTAGCACTTTGGCAGCTAAGAACTTTTGGTAGTTAGGACTCTGTCACAAGTGAAAAAAATCCACATAAAAATGGCTTAAGCAGGCCGGGCGCAGTGGCTCACGCCTGTAATCCTAGCACTCTGGGAGGCCGAGGCGGGCGGATTGTTTGAGCTCAGGAGTTCGAAACCAGCCTGAGCAAGAGCGAGACCCCGTCTCTACTAAAATTAGAAAGAAATTAATTGGACAACTAAAAATATATAGAAAAAATTAGCCGGGCATGGTGGCGCGTGCCTGTAGTCCCAGCTACTCGGGAGGCTGAGGCAGGAGGATCGCCTGAGCCCAGGAGTTTGAGGTTGCTGTGAGCTAGGCTGACGCCACGGCACTCACTCTAGCCCGGGCAAAAGAGTGAGACTCTGTCTCAAAAAAAAAAAAAAAAACCCCGAACCCCATGACCCAGGGGTAGGTAGAGGCCATAGGAGAGCCATCGGCTTGAGCCCTAAGGGCTTCCCACCACTCTGAGTAGCATGCCCACCCCTCGCCACTGCGTACGAAGCCCCAGGTGATGGGGCCCTGCCCTCTCACTGCCCACCTCTCTTCCCCTCCCTCCTCACACGTCAGGCCTCCCTGCTGTCCCTAGAGCTCTCCAAGCTCTTCCCCACCTCCTGGCCTTTTCACATGCTATTCCTCTGCCTGGAAGACTCTTCCTCCAGATATCCAGTTGGTTTGTTCCCTCCCCTCATCCTGTTCAAATATTATCTCTGAGATCTTCACTAACCACCTTGAGCAAAACAGCTCCTCCCCCTACCCTTTTATTTTTCCTCAGAGCACCCATCACTACTCACATGGTATCGTACATTTATTTATTTATTTTTTGAGACAGAGTCTCACTCTGTCACCCCAGGTAGAGCGCATTCTAGCTCACTGCTACCTCAAACTCTTGGGCTCAAGCGATCCTGTCTCTGCCTCCTGAGTAGCTGGGACTCCAGGTGTGCACCACCACGCCCCGCTAATATTTCTATTTTTAGTAGAGACAGGGTCTTCCTCTTGCTCAGGCTGGTCTCAAACTCCGGAGCTCAAGCGATCCTCTCGCCTCAGCCTCCCAGAGTGCTAGGATTACAGGTGTGAGCCACCGCGCCCGGCCCTCGTATTGTATCTTTATTTGTTTATGGTCTAAGTATTCCATTAGGTCTGTGTCCAGGCAGTTGATTCGGGAAGTGATTCCAGGGAGCAGGAGTAAGGGAAAGGGTGTGAGCTGTGAAGGAGGAAGTGCCAATACAAGGATGTGTTGCTGGGTCGAGCACCTCCCAGGCTCTTCAGAGGAGACTCAGAACTGTATCTTCAATGTACAGTGGGACAAAACAAAACAAAACAAAGGGGAAGACAGGGAAATGCCTCTATACCTCATCTCCTGACACCTTTGGCCAGGGGTGGCCCCACAGGTGTTTTAACTGCCCTGCACTTCTGGGTTGCACATGGGTCAGAGAAGCCCCAGGGCAGGGAGCAAGAGGCTCAGGTCTGAGGCGAGACCTGTAGGGTTGCCCTGCACGAAGCTGGTTGAAGCCCGTTTGGAAGTGGTTGCTGTGGCAGTGGCTGGAGTAAGAGGTGGGGCTGAGACTATGGCACCGCGACGCTGCGCAGATGGCTTTCACCACTCTTTCCCAAGCACCTAGAAGAGTGGTCAGCACCCAGCGAACACTCAGCAAATATCCGCTGAATGAATGGTGCTGCAGTCTAGTGAAGGAGAAGGCAAGGAGTAATGAGTTAAGAAAACCAAGTGGGTTGTGGGCTATGATGGGGTAGATACAGGTTGTCAGGGGGCTGACAGCAGGAGCCCAGCTAATCTGGCAGGGAGGGGAGGACAGAGAATTTCTGGAGGAGATGCCCCCTAAGCTAAAATCTGGAAAATGAGCAGGAGTTAACTACACAGCTGAGTTACAAAGCACTTGCACAACTAAGTAAAAATATCGGTGATAAAATCATAGGTAACATGTACCAAGTTCTTTCTTTGTGCCAGACACTGTGCTGAGTGCTTGATGGGCCTTAGTATTTAATCCTGCAGCATGTGTGGACTGTTCGATCCATTTTCCCCAGGGGAAACCTGAAGCTCGGAAAAGTCAGGTGCAGACTTGCAGTTACAGGGGAGAGATGACCACTTCCCCCCATTTTACATAGGGGGACTGAGGCCCAGAGCGGGGCAGTGACTTGCCCATGGTCACAGAAAATTAAGGGCAGAACTGGGACTAGAATCCAGGCCTCCAGACTCCAGGGCTTGTATTCCTGCTCCAGAGCTAGACAGACAGAACAGGGGCTTAGGAGTGGCGTGAGTTAAACAGCCAGGCTGATCTAGGTGGGCACTGCCTCCCCAGCTACTACCAGAAGAAGCTGAAGGAAGGCACCTACAAGGCCCAAGAGATGGAATCAGCCATAGGCCGGCGGCGGTCGAGGAAGAAGCTTCCCTGCAACCCCCAGCAGGCAGACAGCCTGGAAGTCCCAGAACGAAGGGTTCTCCGGATCCTGAGCCGACTAAAGCAGCAGAACTATGGTGAGGGCCCCGGGAATGGTGGGCTGGGCTGGGGGCTCTGCTCTCCCGTCCATCTGGCTGTCTACATAGCCAGACCCAGGGAGCTGAGAGGCTTGGCTTCCCACTTTGGGCTTAACGGTGTGCATCGGTAAATGGGCTGATAATCACTATTCCGCATCCAGCCTTGTGACAACGGCCTCCTGAACAGGTTGGTCCCAAGAGTGAGAAGGGTGCAACTGTAGAGAGATTAGCAATCCCGGCTCACTGCTAGAGCACCCACTGGGGTCAGTCACTGTGCTAGGCCCTTGGCAGACGCACTATAATTTAATCCTCATAATCATGTTTTTACCCCATGTACAGATGAGAAAACTGAAACTGATGAAGTTTAAGCAACTTGCCCAATTGTCCCCAGCTGGTGTGTTAGGGTAGTTTATACCAAGGTCTGATCCTAAAAACTATGCTCTTTCCACTGGGCAAGCCAGCCTCCCTGGCCCAGGTACCATTTATTAGGCTCCTACTGTGTGTCAAGTGATAGGACAGCAGCTTTGCAGTCTTTCTAGAGTGTGCCTCCCAGACTTTGCCAGGACCCATCACAAAAACATCTGCTCCCTTTTCAACTGGTTACCAGCCCTTATTCTGCGCTGTGTTCAGCTGAGTGCTTTGCATCTATTACGCTATAATCTTCACCAGCGGGAACCACTATTTTCTCCAGCTTAGAGGCTCAGGGAGAGGTTAAGAGACTTGCCCAAACCCACCCAGCTCATTATGTGGCACAGCCAGGATTTCACCTGGGTCTGCCTGCCTCCCGAGGCTGGGCATGCTCTGCAGTGCTCCCCCTCCTGCCTCCTTCTCCACCAGCTGCCAACCTGCAGAGCCCCTACGCCCAGGTACCCTGCATCCCACTCTGCCCACGGTTGGACAAGACGGTCCGTCGGAAGCAGGGCAACCACTACATGCTAGACCAGGGCGCCCCTGCTGGCCTGGGCCCTGACATCGGTAGCCTCTTCCTCCAGTCAGGATCTCAAGGAAGCAGGTGGGTGTCTGGAGAACAAGGGCCCCAGCCCAGGCCCTTCCTTCTCCTTCCTTACGAGGCCCCTGGCCTAATGCCTGGGTAATCCACCTTTCCAAGAGATGATGCCTTGGAGACTACGCACTCCAGGAAGGAGAGAGGATGGATGGGGAAGAAACTAACCTTTGTTGAGGGCCGGTGAACCAGGCAGATTGTTTCACCGAAGCAAGGGCCTTCCTGTGCCCAGGACTCAGTGGCATGGGCATTCACTGTCTTTTTCTTAGGCTGGCACTATTCCCCCTTTCTCATGCCGGGAGTTTAACTCTGAGCTCCTTTGTCCAAGTCTGGATCTGTATCAGGAGTGGCAGGCTTAGCACCTGGGCAGAGGGGAGCATCCTCTGCAGCAGACCCCTCCCAGGACCCTCGGGAGAAAAGAGCCTTGGACTTGGAATCAGGCCCGTAAGCCCAACTGCTGGCTCTCCTGTTCCCACCTGGGCACGCAGGAATGGCTCATGTCTTGGCAGGACTGTAGGGAGAGGGGCCAAACATCTCTCACCCTTCTGCCCTACCCCTCTCCCCAGGGAACACAGCTCAGACAGCAGAAAGTGGCTCAGCTCTGTGCCGGCTCGAACTCACTGACCCTTCGGAGTCCTGACTCTAGACAGCTGATCAAGGCCTGCAGACAGACGGTCACCAGGCAGGGGCTGTGGCTGGAGTTTGCTTTTGTGGCCTGCTAAGCCAATAAACACCAAGAACTTCAGCCTCTGTGCTTGGTGCCAAGGCAGGCCCCCCAGGAAGGCTCTAGCTCCCCTCAGGCAAGACTCACCTCAAAGCCCTGCCCAGAGTTGGGGCTCCTGCTACAGGTGCCTCTGGGTACAAAATCTTGACCTTCTGTGCATTCTCAAAGCACAAAACTGGGCCTCTCCTCAGATGAGTGTCTCCCTGCCTTGGACTAGGAGCCCCACAAAGGCAGGAATTCTCTCTCTCCACTTGCTCTAAGGGAGTGGTGAACAGAAGGGAAAGACATGGCCCCTGAAAGCATCACGCCCTGTGGAAAGACAGGAGGTGGCCTCAGCCATGCTCTTCCGTGACAGAGCCCCAAGACCCAGGGGTCTCCTTCGTTTAGAGCCCTGGAGGGATGGGTCTCTGCCCCACAACCCGCACACCACCCAGCCTATTTCTCCACCAAAAAGAGTCTCTCTCTGGGACTGAGCAGAGGTAGCTCCCCAGGGTTAAACAAGCAGCCACAGCAAGAAGTAGGAGGCCAGGGACTGAAATGAGGACAAGGATCTGACAAGTTTAAAACATGTATTTAAAATACAATTTATAAAATGCTTAATCTGCCGACTCAGGAGCCCGCGGTGCAGGGTGTGATGGGGGTGGGCAGCTGCCTGCTATTCCAGCAGAGCAAGGCTGCAGGGGTGCGGCCCTCCCTCCCATGCCCTTCTGTTCAGACACCCGTGGGGCCCATGTGCACCCCTGGGATCACACGAGAAAACAGGACCCCGGAGGTTTCTTGAGTCTCTGCTTACCAGGAAGGCTGGGTGCAGCCCTGCCGGCCCATCCCTGAGCAGAGCACCCCCAGATGGGGCAGAGCAGGGTATGGCTGGGCTGGGCAGGGCAGGGCTGGGTGGGGCAGGTGGGCTCTGGAAGGGGCTGATGTAGCAGATAGGGTGTTGCCTCCTGCCTGCAGGTGGGGAGCACCCTGATTGAGTGGGCTGACAAGGGTTGGTCACCAGGCCTGGACCCCCAGCTCCTTTGGTTATAGGCTGACATCAGAGTAGTGGCTCATGGGAAGCGGTTAGCTGGAAGGTCTGAGGTCTGGCTCATGGGGTCAGGGAGGAGCTGGGGGAAGGGGACAGTACCGTGAAGGCAGATAAAGGGGCAGCAGCCTCAAGTTTCTGCCCCCCATCCCCCTGGGGTTTTCTAAGCCAAAGCCTGCAACTTACTTTAAAAAAGAAAAGAAAAAAAAAGCACTTAAGGAAAGTTACAGACAACTACTAAAAAAAAAAACCCACACAAAATCCAAACCGTTTTCTCATCTCCCCTCCCACCTCCCCCGAACACAATAAAGTTTCCTGTTTTCTTTTCTTTCTTTTTTTAATTTTGCTTGCCACCTCTCCATCTGGAAGCCAGGACATGACTGCTGGTGGGTGGTGACAGGCACACAGTGGGCAGAGCCCCATCTTTGGCAGGAGGCAGGTGGCAGCACCAGTCCCTGCCACATCCTCGATCCACAGACACCCACCAGCCTCCTCCATGTGGCTCCCACTGGAGGGGGTGGGGTAAGAACAGATGGTCCCAATGGCTGAGCGATCAGCACTCCTCCTGGTCTCCCCACCGGGACTACCTCTACACCCTTCTCAATTGGAAGGACAGTCTCGCGTTGGGCCAGAAACCACTGTTACATGAGGGATGGACACTATACATTTAGAATGTGGACACTTGGTCAGGGCAGTGGAACTATAAAGATAGCAGCCAATTTTCTTCCTCACCCACTCCTGGAGATAATTCCCCCTCTTACTTACTGAAGCTCTGTTCCAGCTCTGCGCAAGGAAAATTCCTGGCTTCACACAGCTATAAGGCTGTGCTATGGACCAGTCACTGACTCAACTGGCAGCTGGCCCTTCCTCCTAAGGGGAAGATATAGTGGGACACGGCTTGCTGGGCCTGGCCTACCATTCCCACAGCTCCTGTAAGGCTGAGAGCTAGGTGAACCAAAAGTAGAGTGAGCCAGTGAAACTTAGCTTGCCACCTTGGCCACCATGTGCTGCCCCAATCACAAAACCACACCAACCAGTCCAAAACTTATCTGCTGGTCAGGAGTCGGGAGGCTGTCTGGCTGGCTGAGGGATAAGGTGCAGTGCAAGAGAAGGGACCAGAAAGCCTGAGAGGTTGTACTACACACATAGAGCTGCTCTAGGCAGCTGCCTCTTCCACCTCTAGGAGCCAAAGCAAATCTCCAGGGACAGAAGAACTGCCTTCATTCCAGGCCCTTGCTCTGGAAAAAGGGGTGAAGGGTAGCCTAGGTCTACGGGGAACCGGTCTGCCATCAATCTTTGCAATGCAAAGCTTTTCTTTTCCCAACTTTATTCAGAATGGTCTGCTCCCAAGGTACTGATTTCACACAGGAAATGTACCAAGTAAAGTTACTGAGCTCCATCCAGAGATGGAGCACTGCAGACCCTTAAAAGAGTTCAAGCCTTGCTGGAGTGGGAAGATCTAGCCACCTTCTGACCACATTAGGCAGAAGGCTCAGAGTCCTGGAGCCAGACTGTCCCCCAGTCAGCAAAATACTGAACAAGTCTCGAGTCCTTTACTTTTAAATCCAGGAGTGCGGTCTCACTCCCTGATGCTACCTGCTTTCTTCTAGAAGTAGCAAGCCTGGCTGGTAGGGAACCACCCTGAGGGATATGGGAAGGGGAAGTCTGTTCACTTTCCCTATCTCCCAAAATACTAGAGGTGGGGTTGGCACCCTCCCCAGGCTCTCTGAGCCTACAGAGCTAGCCCAGTCTCCAGGCAAGGCCAAGATGCCCTGGGACTTAGCTGGGGGAGGGAGGTATAGGCATGGGGTGCTCATCTGTCCTGGGGGCTGCAGAGCCCTGCCCCTTTTCTGGGCGGCAGTAGGAATACAGAAGCTAAGCTCACCAAAATCCTATTGGTTAATGTTTCTAGTGAATGTCCCAGAAACATTTTTTAAGTAGACTACCAAACTACCTTTTCTCAATTAAAAATTCATTAAACTGCTAAAATCCCTCCCATGCGCTTTTTCTTGCAAATCAGATATTTGTATAAACAAACAAAAATAGGAAAAAAAAAAAAAAAAGGATATTTTCAAATGGAACTTACTTTTTAAGTGATGAAGACATGC